TTTGGTCCTTTTCTAATACCCCAAAACCCCAAAACCCCAAAACCCCAATATTCAATAAATTATTGAAAATGGAGCGTTTACCTGCAAACCAACAAGCAAAGAGGAATAAGAAGAAAGTAAAAGAGGCTATGAAAGCGAAAAAGGCAAGTAAAAAGGCCAATATGTTTTTAAAGGAGATCAAAGACAAAAGTGATGAAGAGATGCTTCAAATAGCTGAGCAATATCTTATAAACCACGAATGCCAGCAGCAGGTTATTGAAGCAATCAAGAAGTCAATTGAAGAAAAGCCTGAAGAAAATGGAACTAAATATCTTATTGCAGCAGAGAACCTACAAGGAGCAGAAGCAGTTGATTACTACAAAAAGGGCATAGAGGTATTAGAAAAGGACCAAATTAGAATTCAAGAGAGTTCTTCAGAAGAGACTAAAGGAGAAGAAGAGAAAATCAACATTCCTTCTAAAATAGCATCAGCTTTGTCATCTATTGCTGAGCTCTACATGACTCCTCCTCTTTGCGACCTTCCAGAGGCTGAAGAAACATGTGAAGGGGCCTTACAAAAAGCCTTCGAAATTGAGAATGATAATCTAGACGCTCTCCAATGATTAGCAAATCTTAGAATTATGAGGGCTAGGGATGAGGAAGCCATTGAGCTATTAGATCGAGTATTGAAAACTATTCTAGAAAAACAGGAATTGGGAGATCCTCAAGAAATGCCATCTATTGATTTCAGACTCCAGACATCAAGACTATATATGGAGCTTGAGCAATTTAAGAAAGCAGTAAAACCTCTGGATACTGTTATTAAAGAAGATGATAATAAAGGAGAGACTTGGTACCTCCTTGCTTTCTGCCATTACAATCTTAAGAATTACCAGAATGCTAATGAGTGTCTCACGAATGCTCTTGAATGACCCGATCTCACAGAAGAGTTAAAGGAAGCTTCAACTGAACTTCTGGAATCAATGAAGGGAGAAAACTTAATTGCTGGAGATACATCAGTCAGTGAAGGAGTAGCAGATGAAGAAGAAATTATTGACGATGAAGATCTTGAAAAGGAATTCGTTGAAGAAGACCCATCTGATGATGAAGATGTAGAAATGCAATAGGCTAATTTAATCAAATAATCTCAATTTTGAAAGAGAAGAAAGGGGTTTTGGGGTTTTGGGGTTTTGGGGTTTTGGGG